TCTGGGCAACTTGTGCCAGGGCCTCCCCACCCTCCCAGCCAGGAATTCCTTCCCAATATCCAATTGAAACACTGGGGCATAAGGCAGGCAGCACATGTGCCAGGGGTCTGGGAGTCTCAGAGGCTGCAGGAGCCAAGCCCACCTCCCTCCTGAGAAACAGGGAAACCCCCCCTGCTCCCACACCCAGGGAGCTCCGGCTGTGGAACACCTTACCCACACCCGGGTCAGCTCCTTCTCCACCTGCTCCAGCTTCTTCTGCTTGCTGGCTGCAGAGTACAGGGCGGTGGCATAGCGTCCTTCCAGCCCGTACACCTGGATGGGCGGCTGCAGGGAGAGCGGGGGGTGCTGAGAGGGGGCACCTGGGGGGCACAGACCCCCCTGCCCCTCGGCTTCACCAGCCTGCAGACCCCCCAAACCTACCACTTTAACCAGCCTGGAGACCCCTCCGACTCTTCACATAGACCACATAGCTTGGAGAACTCTTGTCAGCCACCACTTTGACCAGCCTGGAGATCCCCCCAACTCCTCACCTTGACCAGCCTGGAAACCTCCCCAACTCCTCACCTGGATCACCTTGGAGACCCCTCACCCTCTCATACAAACCAGCCCGAAAACTCCCCCAACTCCTCACCTTGACCAGCCTGGAGACCCCCCCACCTCTTCACACAGACCATCCTGGAAACCTCCCAACTCCTCCCCTCGACTAGCTTGGAGACCCCCCCCACCCTCTCATACTAACGAGCCTGGAAAGCCCCCCAGCTCCTCACTTTGACCAGCGTGGAGACCCCCCCAAGCTCCTCACCTTGACCACACTGGAGACTCCCCCGTCACCTGTTACTGTGACCAGCCTGGAAACCCCACCGACTCCTCGCTCTGACCAGGCTGGAGAACCGCCCCCCCCACTTGGTCCCCTTCATCTTCACCATCCTGGACACCCCCCTTGACCCGCTCACGACCTCCCCTCTAGTCCCTCACCTTGATCAGCGCGAGGACTCTCCCAATCCCCTCACGACCCCTCCTGCCCCCCTCACCTTGCCCAGCTCGGACCTCCACTGCCCCCTCACGCCCCCGCCGCCCCCTCACCTTCACCAGTTTGGACACCGGCCTCGCCGCCGTCGTGCTTAGCTGCCGCACCTGGAGAGGGAAAGGGGGACAGCGGCGGGATCAGCGCGGCGCTCGGGGCATGGGGCGAGGTTGGAGACCCCCGTGCGGGGGCGAGGGGCGAGGATGCCTCTGTTGCCCCCGGGCCCCCCCGTTTCACCTTCAGGGCCGCCGCCGCCGCCATGTTGCCCCGCCGCCGCTCAGGGTCACCGCGCACGGCGCAGGCGCGGGGAGGCCCCGCCCCGTGATGGCGCTACTGCCGCGGGGCACGCTGGGAGCTGTAGTTCCTCGGGGCGGGGCCTGGGTGTGTCACTGCCCTCGGTGTCACCGCGGTGTCACCACCAGTGTCACTGTGCCCTCAGTGTCACCTGCCCTCGGTGTCACCGCGCTGTCACCACCCGTGTCCCTGTTCCCTCAGTGTCACTGCCTCTGTGTCACCGCGGTGTCACCACCAGTGTCACTGTGCCACCCGTGTCCCTGTTCCCTCAGTGTCACTGCCTCCGTGTCACCGCGGTGCCACCACCAGTGTCACTGTGCCCTCAGTGTCACCTGCCCTCGGTGTCACCGCGGTGCCACCACCAGTGTCACTGTGCCCTCAGTGTCACCTGCCCTCGGTGTCACCGCAGTGTCACCACCAGTGTCACTGTGCCGCCAGTGTCTCTGTGCCTGATGTTCCTGTGGTGTCCCTGTGCCCCTTGGTGACACTGTCAGTGTCCCTGTGCCCACAGTGTCCCTCACTGCCCAGTGTCCCTTTGCCTGGTGTCCCTGTGCCCACAGTGTCCCTGTGCCCCTGGTGTCCCTCTACCCTTGGTGTCCCTGTGCACCCAGTGTCCTTCATGAACAGCTCCAGTGTGAGTCCCTTCCATGGGGTCACAAGTCCTTCCTGCTCCAGCCTGGGCTCTTCTCTCCATGGATCGACAGGTCCTGCCATGCCCCGGCTCCAGGATGGGCTTCCCACAGAGTCACAGCCTCCTTTGGACATCCCCCTGCTCCAGGGGGCTCCTCCAGGGGCTGCAGGTGGATCTCTTTACCCCTGTGGATCTCCAGGGGCTGCCCCTGCCTCACCCACACCCATCTCATCCTTCAGGAGAGCGACTGGAGCATCCCACGAGTTGTTTAAGGGACTCAACCTCAGCTGCTCTCTTCTCCTGGGCTTTGCTCTGCTCTGACCCGGGGGAACCCCCGGGACGCACCGAGCTCCTTCTGTCCCTCGGATAAACCAGATCCAAACCCTTCCCGAGGCAAAGGACACTTGAAACCCCAGGTGGGCAGCTCTGCCTGTCGCTCTCTCTCTCTCTCTCGCTCAGCTCTCGGGAATGGTTCAGCTCCTCCTCTCTCTAATTCTTCCACCCTTTTTTTTGTAAGAGCTCCGCGGAGCCGGTGCCGGTTCGGGTGGTTGTTTCCCGCACGGGGACCGGCTCAGGCGGTCGTTGCCATGGAAATAGGAAGCCTGGCGTGGATGGGAAGCAGCGGGAAGCGTGCAGGGCAGGATTCGAGCACTAGATGCTGCTCTTGCTCCAGACTGAAAGCGAAGCGATGATGTAAAAACAGGATTGGAGTAAGGCTCTTTAGGGAACCCGCTTAGCCGTCCCACCAGGAGTGCCACAGTGTCACCCACGGGCTTCATTGGGGCTCTTTATTGGGATTTACCTCCCTCCTCTCTCCTGGTCTGCGTTTGCCGCGGTGACACTCGAAGGCACAAATACAGCCCGGGGCAGGTTTAAGCCTGACATGACTGAGAGGGTGGGGATCAGTTCAGGCTGGAGAAGGGTCCGGGGAGAACTGAGAGCCCCTTCCAGGGCCTGAAGGGGCTCCAGGAGAGCTGGAGAGGGACTGGGGACAAGGGATGG